AAAATATGCTTAGCCATGTTTGGGGAACTATCACCTCTTTCCATTTTGACCACTGTGTCACTTCTTGCTTAAATATATATAAGATCATTTGTCTTGGAAATTTAGGGGGAATGGGAAAGAGTAGATTTTTATTTTTTAAGAGCTAGGGTAAAGGCTTCCTGCTTGTATTACCAAAGAGCAGTTGAGTGTGTGGCTCACTGGTCATCTTCTTCATTTCACTATTGAGCAGAGGGCCCTGAGACCAGACCCAGAATTCAGTGGGAAGATATGGAGAACATAATTTTAGAGCAGAGTGGCAGAATATTTAAAAAGCTCCTGGGGAAAGGGACAAATCAGAGAAGCCAGATTTAACCTAACACTTTAGACAAGAGGCTAAAGTTATCAATGCCCCTTCAATCATCCTTATTAACCTCTCTGAGCATGCAACACTGTAAGCAGTTCCATTTTCCTTTCTTTTTATTTTTAAATTATTATTTGAGTGAAAGATGAAAAACATAAGCAACCTTCCTTGCTGAAACTGAAGAAGACATGAAAGCACTTTCTGAAGAAGGTCAAGGATTATAGTCTTCAATATGGATTGAAGTTCAATATCAAGAAGACAAAGATTCTCACCACTGGCCCAATTGGGAGCACCATGATAGATGGAGAAGAGATTGAGGTTTATAACAATTACATCTTACTTGGCTCCACAGTCAATACTCCTAATACCAGCAGTCAGGAAATTAAAAGACAAATAGCACTGGGAAAATCTGGTGTCCAGAGTGCTGAAAAGCAAGGATGTCAATCTGGAGACTAATGTGCCCTAATCCAGGCCATGGTCTTCCCAATTACTTGATATGCATCAGAGAGTTGGGTAATTACTAAGGATGACAGATGAAGAATTGATGCCTTTGAATCATAGTGCTGGAGAAGAGTCTTGAACATTCATGAACAACCAAGAAAACAAATAGGTCTGGAAGCTGGGATTTTGAAGCTCCGTCTCACATAAGGACATCATGCTTGGAAAGGTGGAGGGACAGTGCAGGAGAGAAGACCTTGGGTGAGATGGATTGATACAGTAACTGGGACAATGGGGGTTGGTGTACTAGAATTAGTGAGACTGGCTCAGGACAGGGAAGGGTTCAGAGCTGCTCTACATAGGGTTGCTATGGGTCGCAGGTAACTCAACAGCACATAATAATAACAATCAATTAATTATTCATGCACCTTTTTTTAAATTTTTTCCCCTAATATTGATTACAATACTTACAGTGCCTTATCATCCATTCATCGCATATTGTCTTTCCTTCACCTAAACTGAGAGCTTATTATCCATTAATTCATTTTCTATTTACCCTTTCCATACCCTGGCAACCAGGCTAATACGATTTTGTATGTAAACTTATTTTTAGCTTCTTATAATAGTTTTCTTGTTTGTTGTTGTTATGTGCCATCAAGTCACCTGCGACTCATAGCAACCCTCTGTACAACAGCCCTAAATCCTGCTCTACCCTGTGCCAATCTCACTGTCTCTGACACACCTACCCCGATTACCCCAGTCACTGCATCAACCCACCTCATAGAGGGTCTTCCTCTCCTGCCCTGTCCCTTCACCCTCCCAAGCATGATGCCTTTCTCCAAGGACTGCTCCCTCCTTGAAACATGTCTAAAGTATGTCAGGTGAAGCTTCAAAATCCTTGTCTTTAAAGAGCAGCCTGGTTCAACTCTCCCCAGGATGAATGTTTGGGTTTTTTTTGGGTGTGTGTGTTTGTGTGTGTGTGTGTGTGTGTGTGTGTGTGTGTGACTGATCCATTTCACTCATCATCATGCCAGTTTTTCTTAATCCTTCTCTCTTCACCTTTTGCAAATCTTCTCTCTCTAATCATGAGTTTGTGCTTTCCTTTTGAGGTCTACATGAGCCTCCACTTGACCTTATTTTTAAATGCTAGTACTATTCAGAATTTTCATTTTTGGTGC